AGTTGGGGTTTAGTCCACTTCTATATCCTTCCCTTCAAGGCTCAGGGGTCCAGGATTATCTTCTGTGTCTGTGTTAATTGATTTCCCTTTTCTTTGTTGAAGAGGGTCTGTGCTGTCTTTCTGCCAAGTCTGCCATCTTGCCGGAACTCCTTTTGCTACTTCTTGTTGCTACTTCAAGGATTGATGGATTGGGGAATGTTAGAGAGTTGGGAAGTGGATAATAGGTGATGTTAACACATAGTGCCAGGTAGTGTTCCAAACAATTCACATGTATCATCTCATCTAATTTTCACATTTTGTATTAGGTACTGTTATTACCTGTACATTACAGATGAGTAGACTGAAGCACCAAGAGTTTAAGCAATTTGTCCAATTTTTTTGGGAGTTTGTGTATATACTCACACACACACACACACACAGAGAGAGAGAGGGAGAGAGAGAGAGAGAGAGAGAAAGAGAGTGAGTAGATGATGAGTGGTGGAGCCAAGATTCCAATCCAAGCTGTCTGGCTCTAGAGCTCCCATTCTGAACTCTTACCCTATATTTATAACAGAGTGAATATTCAATAAGTATAAGAACAAAATTGTCCTGCCAAATTAATGCCACTGAATGGACACTGGTATGTTATGATTTAATATTAGAATTATTTTTTTCATGCTTGTGTGAAGTGGAAGAAGTAATTTCCTCTCCCACATTAACCAAATTAGTCATTTAATTCCCATATAGGGAAGTAAAAAACAAACAAACAAAAAAACCAAACCTGCTGCTATCAACTCGAGTCTGACTCATAGTGACCTCCATTCGGTTTCCAAGGCTGTACATGTTTATGGAAGTAGATTGCCTTATTTTCCTCCCATGGAGCAGCTGGTGGGTTTGAACCACCAACCTTCTGGTTAGCAGCTGAATGTCTTACCCACTACACCAGAGTTCCTTTTTTTATAGGGAAATAGTAAGTATAATTGATATACATAAATAATAATTCTCCTTTCTCTCTATAATATGGAAATTCTTACATACGTTTGCCCCACTGGTATCATCTGGCAGCATATACTATTTTAACTGAAAGCATCTTATGCGTTAAAACATGTGAGAGAAATTTCCTTCAGTAGAAATTAGTCATCTGGGCTGCTCTTTCCCATAAATGAGTATGTTTCTCCTTGGCTTGGCTTGGGAGGGTCTTGATTGAGGTATTTTTAAGTTTCAACTGGTTTTGTGTTCATTTTGTTCTTTTACGGAAAAAAAAAATTAGATTGAAAAATGTGATTTGTCAAAAACACATGCTGAGGCCTGACTGCCGTATATAGAATTATACATGTATAGAATTACATTTCTTTGGAGTGTTAACATGTAAGATACTTATTAGAATTACATATCAATCATATATGGGTAATTATAATTACCTATGTGTTACATTTCTACACAGTATCAACTTGTATTTATTAGAACAGTTTACTAAAACTTTCTTTGATTCTTTCCTGTTTTAATCTCTAAAAGTGGCCTCTGATTTTCATTTGTCATAATTTTTTTTAATAAACCATATTGAAAAAACATTTGCTTTAGTGACTGACTTTCTCTGAACATGTAGTAAAAAGTTAAGATTACTGATTGATCAGCTATCTATGAAGAAGCCCCATTCTAGAGAGAGGTGACTGTGTTTATGAAGCTTATTAAAGGAAGAAGATACATCACTTTTTTTTCTTGGCCTGAGGGGGGATTAGAATGAGTTTTCATGTGCCATTATTTTTCCCATTTGAGTTATTTTTATTTTGGTGAAAATTTCTTGATCAACCTATAAGATGCTTTTTCAGTGGTTTCTCTGTGGATAACCTCTCCTTTCTCAGTAGAAGAATCCTTCAGGAAGTTCCTTGCATGCTCCAGGATGAAGGGGCTCAGGCTGGCCACTTTCCCAAGGAGCACATTTAACCCTGAAAGCATCAAAAGGTTGTGACAGGCCTCTAGCGTATTTGACATTCCAGCAGCTTGGCCAGGATTGCTAGTCTGGTGGTATTGCTTTATTTGTTCATTTTAAAAGTCAGTTTGTGCCATGTAGAGTGAGCCTGGTATTTCTGGATGTTCTCTGCAGGGATAGAATGGAATGAAGGGTGTTGAAGCCTTCCCCCTCTTACAGAAACACTGAGCTTTTGTTCATGTGCATATTGCACAAAACAGTAGGCACAGGTCTGTGAATGTTACTGTGAAAAAATAGGTAAAATAATAGTTCACTGCTCATTAATACTTGTCAGTATGCTAACACTTCATATTTTGGGAGGTGGGATCGTTTGGGTCACTGTGCATTGGCATATTAATTTGACCATAGTCATTGAGGGCAAGGGCCCGCTGTGTGACTTTGAGCAGATTACTTAATCTCTTTGTGACTGTTTCTTCATCTGTAAAATGGAGATTATGATAGTGTCTATTTTCATATAGGAGTCCCTGGTCTGGCTGGTGCCAATGGTTAATGTCTTTGACTGCTGACCAGCAAGGGTGTAGGCTTGAGTTCAACCAGAGGTGCCATGGGAAATCCTATGGAGCACAGTTCTACTCTGACATACGCGGGGTTGCTGTGAGTCGAGATCGACTCAGCGGCAACTAGTGTATCTTCACAAAGAGGGTGGTGGTGGTGGTTGTTGTTGTTTGCCGTCGAGTTGGCCCCGACTCATAGCGACCCCTCCTTGGGTTTCCGAGGCAGTATCACTATGGAAGTAGGATTGCCCAACCTTCCTTCCGAGGAGTGGCTG